CGAGGAGGAGGAGGAGGAGGAGAGAGGAGGAGAGGAGGAGGAGGAGGAGGAGGAGGAGGAGGAGGAGGAGGAGGGCCGTAGGGCATGTTGGCGCGAGCCCCCGCGCCTCCAGCGCGAGTCCCGGCGCGGGCCACGCCGCCCGCCCTGGCGCCGGTCGCTGCCTGGCCCAGGCGAGCCCTGGGCGCCCTTCCGAAGAGGGCGGGGGCTGGGGCTCCAGCGCCACCGCCAGGCTTAAGTCGGGCCTGTCCCCCTACAGGGGGATTTTCGACGAAAAATAACAAGTACCTCCAAAATAGTCAGAAAATGCTCCAAAAATAGTCGGGGGATTGTTTTTTGAGTATGTTTTGAGCTTTTTGGAGTATTTTTGGGGTACTTTTATTCTTCCGTTGACAATCCCCCTGTAGGGGGACACGCCCGACATAACGCCAGGCGTCGATGCCGACGGGGGCCTCGTTCCTCTCGAGGCGGCCGACCGGCAGGCCCCACCGCGGCAGGGGAGCGGCGGGCAGTCCACTCTGGCCGTGGCGCTGCTCTGCTTCGGGGAGTCCGAGCAGCGGCAGCAGCAGCCGCAGCGGACAACGACGCACCCCGTGCCGGTGTCTCCGATCGATGTCGCTCAGACCTTTCTCGCTCCCTCGGTCACGATCGCGGTTGGTCCGCGTTGCCGATGCGCCGCGGCATCGCGAGGCGCTGCGTGTGGCAGCAGATGCCGTGCCGGCACGGCCCCGAGCTGCGCGCCATCCTGAGAGCGAGCCTGGCTCGGGCGCTGGGTGTCGAGCTGGGCGCGCTGACGTCCCGCAGGGCTCTGCTCGCACCGCTGCGGCCCCCTCCGCTTCGGCCCGGAGTCCCACCGCTGGCCTTGCTGGCCGTCTTGGCCCTGCAGGACGCGCCGGCGGCGGGCGCGCGCCGCCTCGAGGAGGGGGTTCAGCGCCCAGCCGCTGCTCGCCTGCATCGCCATCGGTCGCAGCTTTTGTCGCCGACCTCTCTGGCTTGCTGCGCCACCTCCCTGGCGCGAACATCGATGGCACCCGCCGGGCGGCTGCGCTGCCTCGGGTTGGGACGGATGCTCGGTGTCCTCTGTCTGCTCTGTCCTGATCCTCTATGCGCGCATCGGACTGGAGCTCGGGCGCTTCCACTCTTGGAGTTCCGCGATCCTTGGCCGTGCCCCCCCCCCCCGCCGGGTCGCCCGCCGCCTCCTGCCACCTCGGCAGGTCGCGCGCGTGAGCGGTGGCGCGTCGAATCTCGCGGGAGACTGGCCCAGCTTCGCGCGAACCTCTGATCCCAAAGCGGCTCTCGCCAAGGTCCGGGGCGCGGGCCAGCCCGCTCGCCCCCGCCGCGGGCTGCTGCGCCTCGTGGCGAAGGGTGCTTCCCGTCGCCCTGGCGCCGAGAGAGCGCCCCCGCTCCCGGGGCGCGGCCAGAGGTCGTGGACTCCAGCGGTGCCCCGTCCAGCGGCCCCAGGTCGCCTCCGCCCCCGTTCTCTGGCCTGCCCCTTTCTTGCGATGCCGTCGCGGCCCCGCCGGGAGAGGGTCGCGCCGCCGACGGGGTTGCTGGCGCGCCCTCGGCGGAGTAGGCCGCGTGGGCCGCTCCCAGCGCGGGCGCGCCCGTCTCGGCGGGGGCGCGCGTTCCAGAAAGCGCGTTCGGTGGCCTCGGAGCTCGAGCTCGAGACCGTCGCCGCTGCAGCCCCTGCGCCTGCCGCGCAGGCGACCCCCCCCCCCTTCGGTTCCCCTGGATGGCGCGGGCTGCTCCAGCGGTGCTGCTGCGGCCCCGCCGGGGGCGGCACGTGCCGCCCGAGGAAGAGTGCGGTCTGCAGCCGCGCCCATCGCCATGGCGAGCGCGTCGCCAGTTTGCGCGGGCGCGCTCCTGCTGCCCCTGCTCGGCGCCGTCGCGAGCGCAGCCGAGGTGGCGCCCCCACTGCCGCCCGCGGAGGCTCCAGCGCCCCCCTGGCGCGCGCCCCTCCGAGGCCGCCGGCGGCGGCCCGTGCCTTTTGAGGCTCGCGGCCAGGGGCGTCCGAGGACCCGATGGCCTCGGCGGCCGCCGCGGGGTCTGCCGCCCTGGCAGACGCTGTCCCGCGGTGGGGGCCCCGTCGGCGGCGGTGCCTCCCCCTGCGGGGGGGGATGGCTCGGCGCGCATCCCACGCGCTTTGCTGTGGGCGACGGTGGGCTCGTGCCCCTCCTGCGGGGCCGGCCCATGGCCCGCTGCGGCAGCTCTCTGCTGCTCGAGGCTCGTGGGCTTCGCGACGTCCCCGAGACCGAGCGAGTTGCTCTCCGCGCGCCGTGGTCGCCTGTCGCTGCCGAGCGACCGCCTGGATGTGTCCGACGCTGCCGCCCCCCTTCCTTGCTCGCCGATCAGCCTGCTTGCCCCGCTCGGGCATCGCGGCCTCCGTGCCCGGCGGGGCCCCTGGCGGTCCGCGGGCGGCGCCCGCCGCCCCTATCGCCTGCCGAAACCGGGCGCGTAGAGGTGTTTTTCTTTGCCACTGCCAGCGGCCGCCGTGGCGCTACTTGTTATTTGGGTGCGAACCCCTGCCAGCGGCCCAGCCCTGCTGCCGCCCACCAGGGCCGTGTCGCTTCGCAAGGTCTTCGAGCCTGGGATCGGCTAGATCGCCCTCTAGACTCTAGGGCGACCAGGCGTTGACCTAGTCCGCCTGAGCGGTGCCGCTCGGTTCGCGCGCGCGCGTCAGTCCCTGGCGCTTTTTGGGGCTGACCGCGCGCTCGCGCTGCGCGCCCGCGCCGAGATCGCTCGCCCGCGCGCGATCGGGGTATTGGCCTTTTTCTTATCCTCCTCGCTGCGCCCCCGCGGTCTCTGCCGCTTCCCAGCCCCCCTCCCTCCCTCCCTTTTCTAAGGCATGCGGCGCTGCTAATTCGCCCTTTCGGGTGACTAGGCGTTGACGCAGTCCGCCTGAGCGGTGCCGCTCGGTTCGCGCTCGCGCCAACCCCTGGCGCTTTTTTGGGGCTGCCCGCGCGCGCGCGCCGCGCGTCCGCGTCGAGACCGCGCTCCCGCGCGCGATCGGTCGAATGATAGCGATGATGGTGGTGATGGTGAAGGTGATGTTGGTGTTGATGTTGATTATAACTTGACGTCGCTCGGTCGCGTGTATATCCTCGGCGAAGGCAACCGAGGAAATATCCTGTGCATACACGAAGTCGAACCATCCACGGGGACTGGACGTCCGAGCGACGGCCATGTGAGGACGCCGATGATGATGGAGATGGTTATGATTATGTTCATGCTGATGATGATGGCGAAGCTAATCGTGGTGGTGATGATGCTGACGACGGCAGCGGTGATGACGTTGTTGATCGTGTTGGTAGTGGCGGTGTATATCATGATGCGGACGTTGAGGCTGATGAAGATGATGACTATGATGACGACCGTGTTGATGGTGATGGCGATGGCGATGGTGATGGCACTGGCGGTGTTGACGATGATGAACATGATGATGGTAATGATGACAAGGATGAGGAAGATGCGGATGATGATGGTGATGGTAATGGTGATGATGATGATGATGACGATGATGATGATGATGATGATGATGATGATGATGATGATGATGATGATGATGATGATGATGATGATGATGTGGCTGATTATGGTGTTCATGATGCTGATGATGACGATGGTCAGAACGCTGGTAAGCATGCTGGTGGTGATGATGATTATGATGATGAAAATGCTTACGATGCTGATGATGATGATGCTGATGGTGGTGATGAATGATGATGGTGCTGATGGTGATGATGATGATGATGATGATGATGATGATGATGATGATGATGATGATGATGATGATGATGATGATGATGATGATGATCATGGTGATGGAACGGAGGGGGACGAGGCGGCAGATGATGAGGGTGAGGAGGAGGAGGAGGAAGAGGAGGAGGATCAGGAGGAGGAGGAGGAACAGGAGGAGGAGGAGAAGGAGGAGGAGCAGGAGGAGGAAGAGGCGGAGCAGGAGGAGGAGGAGGAGGATGAAGAGGAGGAGGAGGAGGAGGATCTTAAGGATGCGGAGGAGGATCAGGAACGCCGGGCGGATGCGGATGAGGATGAACCAACGTAGGCGGCGGAAGCGGAGTATGAGCTATTAAGCGTTACGCGGGAGGATGAGGAGTGGCGGAAGAGATGTGGAGGAGGATGAGGAGAGGGATGAGGAGGATGCGGATGATGAGTAGGCGGATGCGGAGGACGATGACGAGGAGAGGAGAGGGATGTGGAGGATGCGGAGGGGGAGGCGGATGAGGAGGAGGAGGAGGAGGAGGAGGAGAGGGAGGAGGAGGAGGAGACGGACGCGGAGGCGGGGTTGACGGGTGCGGATGACGATGACGATGCCGATGGCTATGATGACGATGATGCTGATGCTGATGCTGCTGATGATGCTGATGAGGATGATGCTGATGGTTACTATGATACTGAGGTTGATTCTGCTCATGATGATGGTGATGTTGATGACGATCATCATGTTGATGATGATGAGGGGGTGGTGCTGATGCTGATGATGATGATACTGATGTTGGAGATGATGGCGATGATGCTGATGACGATGATGATGCTGATGATGATGATGCTGCTGATGATGATGATGATGCTGATGATGATGATGATGGTGATGGTGATGATGACGATGATGATGATGCTGATGATGATGATGATGATGATGATGATGATGCTGATGATGATGATGATGCTGATGATGATGATGATGATGATGATGATGGTGATGGAACGGAGGGGGACGAGGCGGCAGATAATGAGGGTGAGGAGGAGGAGGAGGAGGAGGAAGAGTAGGAGGATCAGGAGGAGGAGGAGGAACAGGAGGAGGAGGAGAAGAAGGAGGAGCAGGAGGAGGAGGAGGAGGAAGAGGAGGAGGAGGATGTTAAGGATGCTGAGGAGGATCAGGAACGCCAGGCGGATGCGGATGAGGATGAAACACAGTAGGATGCGGAAGCGGAGTATGAGCTATTAAGCGTTACGCGGGAGGATAAGGAGTGGCGGAGGAGATG